TATATATATATATATATATATATATATATATATATATATGGGTGTATAGGACGTGTTTACTCGTAATATAGGGTACAATAGCTTCATTTATGGATTAAAATATCGGAATATAAGGATTAACATATGACTTACTTTAACCTCAATAGTTTGAACGTGTTCTGTCAGGATTTGAAAATAACTGATATTTTTCTGTATTAATTTCAAATGAAAGACGCAGCATACAAGATACATAAGCTATATAAAGAAAAAGTAATATGTATCATTATATATAATTGTGGGCTCATGTGTGCTTGTCTGGCTGTGACAAAACTGTTTGAAGGCTTTATTCGCATGTGCGCTATTATGTTTCACTGATATCTTTTACTTTCTTTCTATTCTTTTTCCAGGAAATGTTCTTTCAATGAGGTCATGTGCTACATGTCCTTTCTTTAAAAGGCTTCGTGTATAAATACGATTACAGCAAAGCTAAAAATGTAAGAGGATACACCAAAAGTTAACAAAGAATGTCATTTAGTTCCAGATTCAGAACTTGATAAGAAAGGTGGAAATACGAACCAAAAACAAAATCTAGTAGTCAATCAGTCATTGAAAAATAATTTTAATTTAACAGATGAATAAATGAAAGTCAGTGTACATGGAAATCTAGACTTGCACAGCCTATATTCTATAGATTAGATTACTTTCTTATAATGCAATCCTCAGTTGATAATGATATTATGCCTTGACATGTAACTGATCATTTATCGATTTAAATGCAACAGATGCTGTACAATAAAAGACCCAGTCTAGCATTCATAAATAAAAGTATTCTCATTATAGCATGCAATGAGCGAAATATATTTCAGAATTATATTTGTTTAAAAATTCTGGTTAATAAAATCACTATACTTAATGTTTAATTTGGGATTCATATCACCACCCCTAAGACATTATATTAGAACTCTGGTTCCTTACAAATAAAACAAAATTTGACCAACTTAATAGGAGACCAATAAATCTGTTAAATGTTCATTAGAAGTTTTCAAGTAAATAGTTAATATTGATAAACAAGCACTTTCTATAGTGGTTCATGATAACCAACTGTACTAGTCAAGCTGTTTATATGGAAAATATCTGTGCAGATTTTGGATAAGCATTTCGTAATGTAATTTTGAATTATAGTCTTAAGGTTCTACAATTCCTCAACTTCGGACATAAGGTATCAATACTTGCAAACTACGATGATTAGACTCCTTTTGCTATAAGTTCTTACATGATAATTTAAAATATCTTACACAAAAGGTCCAGAATAAGCTTCACCTTAATACAAATTTATAAAGAGCTATTATCATTTCTAGGATAAAACATTAAGCTGCATGTTTTGGAACACGTTTTCATTCATAGGTAAAATAAATACGTTAAAGAAACCACAAGGGGTTAGGTGTAAATGAAACATTGTGGAAACCCCAAGTGGTTAGGTGTAAATTTAACGTTGTGGAAACTCCAAGCTGTTAGGTGTAAATGTAACTTTGTGGAAACTCCAGACAGTTAGAGTAAATGTAACATTGTAGAAACTTGCGTCATCCAGACACAAATGTAATATGCAGGCAGATAAGATGTTAAGGTAACTCACAAGGAGCTGGGTATTAAGGTAAACACGGATAATTATGCTTTAATGTAACACTCTAGCCCTTAGGTGATAGGTAACCTCCATAAAGGTGTTAAAGTAAATCCCAGACAGTTAGGTATAAAGGTAACCTCCTAGAAGGTATGTATAATGGTAGTAATCCCCAGGCAGTTAGGTCTAAAGTTGATCCCCAAACATTTAGGTCTAAAGTTGATCCCCAGGCAGTTAGGCCTAAAGTTGATCCCCAGGCAGATAGGTCTAAAGTTGATCCCCAGTCAGTTAGGTCTAACTTTGATCCCCAGGCAGTTAGGTCTACAGTCGATCCCTAGGCAGTTAGGCCTACGGTTAATCCCCAGGCAGTTAGGTCTACAGTTGATTCCCAGGCAGTTAGGTCTACAGTTAATCCCCAGGCAGTTAGGTCTAAAGTTGATCCCCAGGCAGTTAGGTCTAAAGTTGATCTCCAAGCAGTTGGGTCTAAAGTTGATCCCCAGGCAGTTAGGTTTAAAACTCACTCCCGGTCAGTTAGTTGTAAAGATGAAACATGTAATGCTAACACAAGGGAGGTAATTGTAAGGGTAACCCATTCTTCGATCAGTGTGATGGGGAAATGTTTCTGTCTTGAAAATATTATTTACATGTAAGAAATTATAGAAACAACAGAAGTCATCATATAACATAATTATATCAAAGTGTTAGATCATCAAAAATATTGTTGCCTTATTTCTATAAAAAAAAATAAAGCCCGATGGCTGCTAATATAAAATCAGTTTCGTGTACGGCCTAAGTAATATGTTATCCTAACTATTGAATGATTGTTTTGTATCGGTATACATACACACCATGTGTTTGAAGTAAAGCTAAATTCTCAAAGACTTCGAAATTCTCATTACATGGATTTACAGCTTAAAATACTGGCCAACAAGCACGGTTCAGTGAAATATAGGAATGTAAATCGGAATAATAAGCATGGAAAGATATTATGCAAATGGTAATGAAGTTTTATCTGAGTTTAGTATGCATCTTATTCTCTCTTTTGCGAGTATATAACAGAAGCAAAGCAAGCATACCCATAAAAATGAACAGACCAAACGAAAATTTGTTTTCTGTGATACCCCTATTCTAATACAATCATTGAACAAAAGAGCTTTAGTCATACTGAAACTACACATCGTTTACAAATACAGCTTTCGTGCCACTAATGAACAATGCTTCTCACGTTGGTTTAAATGTCTACAATTATCTCGAGAGTAAAAAATTAAAAGAGCGTTTTGTTCAGTGATTTATGCAATTTAATTTATATTCCGTTGAAGCAATTGGAAATAACCTTTAAGGCATATTGGAATTTTGCAGATGTACAATAGTCCCAACTCTCATGAGATTATACATCTAATTCAAAACAATATAAAATTAAAGGAACCATTCACTAAATAAACATGATCTATGATACGAACATAATTTTATTTCTTTCTGACAGACATAAATTAATGCAACTTATATTACGTTATAATGTAGTAATATAAATTCGAGACCTTTCCCCACTGTGCATACTTTGATCAAGTGTGTATCTTTGATCGTAACCGACGTGCGTCTGCGTTTTAGCCATCGTCATCGTTTACGATATGAAAGTGATGAGTTTTCAGACATAACAATATACACAGGCACCTGTTCGCTCAATTCTTACTGCATGCAAATTTATTAACTGTTTTGGACGCTAACGCCCCGGTTCTGTATCTGTGCGCTGGGACATCGATGGTTTTCTAATTTCGACGAACACCATCATAAGCTACTCCATTGTAATCGTTTCGTCTGCGATATTCACCGAATACAGATTGGTAATTTGGCTGAGACTACTTTGGATAGCTGCAAGGATTTTTAAAAAATAGAAATTTATTCGCCAATGTAACCCTAATGAAATAATTTTCCCAGTGCGGCGTGTCACACCGATTAATATTAGTATGACCCTAACAAATCTGATTGTTGTGCCAACAATATTTGCTGCAGCAGCACTTCACGCCAAGACAAGGCCAACAGTGGATGCAACGGCGAGGCAACAAGTAGTCTCCACGACTACACACACACACGTCTATACAGAGTTGATAGGCTTTCCTTGTGATTTGATCTGACTGCTATTGTTCCGCTTCAATTACTTTTTCGAGTTGGCTACTTTGAGTGTCCATCACAATTAATCTATTAATGTTATTAAAACAAAATGATTAAAAGGCCGGAATTGTTCGTGTGCATCATACACACAAACACACACACACACACACATACACACATACACACTTCTAATTACCATCACGTTGGCATATAACTACATTCATTACATCCCTGTTTGATGTATTTAACAATTTTCTCTTTTTTTACTAAGAACTATTGCACGGACAATTGCATCTGTGTTGAATAACAGTCGAGATTATTTTCTTGTAAGCTGAGTCAAGGTTGGTGCAATATAAATGAAGTAGAATTTTGTCGCAGTGGCTTTGTTGGTGAGTTCCACTTCATCGTTGTAGAAATAATCCCTAGGCTTTATCACGACTGGCTGTGGAGGCTTCTACTGCTCTTTTTGGCGTGACAATGTATTGATTCCAGGGTGGTTGCTAACTTAGAAATGGAACACCAATGGTTGTTTGCAGCGGTCAATTTATATTTGTCCTTTGACAAGATTATATTTCAGAGTATACGTGGATTTCTTAAAACTATTTTAATGCAGGAATTCATCTATAAGCGTCATAAAATTGACATCGGTGTTGGTTTCCATTGTCAGTCAGTACGTTGCGCAAAATACGTCATCACGTACCTGTTTAGAATCCATCACGTCTAAAAAATGATTAATCTTAAAAGCAAAAGCAAAAAATAGTTAAGTACCATTTCAAACAGATGTTGAGACCTTCTAAGTGAATTTCATCTCTGGCGACCAATGGGCACAATACTGTATATAGGAAACTTTCTTTGACATTGTTGTATTTACTAACAGTCTATCACGCTGGCAATAATTTAGTTTTATGGTCATTGCACCCCGCCCGCCTCTAGACCCTGTCAAGATAAACACGTATTTATGAAATTCGTTCCTGGGGTCAGTGAAAGTCAATTGCCGTAGTAAATGTTTTATATCTTCTCCTTCGCTGTTTAATATTCTCCTGAATATAACTCATGAACTTACTACGAGTATTTAGTGATGTTATGGCTGATAACACCATAACGTCTTTTCATCTACATATTCTTTAAATACAGCAACTGCATTGTAGATGTTGCCTTTGATAAGACAGTCGAAAGCACCAAAGTCTCGTGTCTGATCCCATTGTTTTCCATGAATTTGGCCATGTTTCTTGAGATTGCTCCTCGAGGCTTTAAAACAGTGCCTACTTAGATGGTCAACAACTTTAAGTGGTAACCGCTTCCTTGGTGTAGTGGTTAGAGCGTCTGCCTCGGATGCTGGAGATCGTGGGTTCGATTCCCGGTCGAGCCAGACCAAAGACTTACAAAAATGTTACTAACAGCTCCCTCGCTTGACACTCAGCATTAAGAAGCTAGTGTTAGAACTGGTCAGCCTCAGGTGTCAGGATAATTTGACCGGGTGGGACATCATGCTACATGTCTGCTAAATGATGCCCCAGTGATAGACATCACTATAAACTGCCACACTGCAGACATCGTAGCGAAATGGCAAAAAAGGTGTTAAAAGTCATAATCACATCACATGATTTTTAAGTGGCGACGAAAGTCCATTCGAATCAAAATAAAAATACATGTCGCCGTTTCTACTTATGCGATCAAACGAATTCCATGCAATTTTATCTAATCTAGGTGAATGATGCCGTTTTTCCACATGGAGTTAGGTGGTTATCCTGTATAAAGACAATTCGAAAATGTTTGGCTGACTTTAACATCATGAGTAAACCAATATTGGTCAATAGACGTATTTCATAGCCGTCAAGGGCCAGGTCACTATCAGAAGACATTTCCTTGAGGGTAGTTTATTAATCGTCTTAGTAGAAGATCGCTTCTTTTTTATTCGTGTACGAGACGCTATACGTCCAACTGCCTTTCCAAAGGCATCCCATGTACAGTTCCGGCAGACCCTAATGGGACTAGTTTTATCTTCCTTTAACTTGTTAATTTGTGTTGATTGTGCTACAATTGGAAATATACAGTTAAAGGTCTATAAACTCTGATGATGTAGGTTCGTCCGTTCTTACTTGTAAAGTCCAATCTACTTCAGAAATACCCATTAAAGCGGGTTATTGTATCCAGGTGGAAGACTCGCAACTGCTTTATCGATGTCTTCGGCGTATAGTGATCAGAAACAGTTGGATTTTCAAGGTCCATCTGGACCAATATTTAAAGCGCCAACTCAGTTTGTAAAGAAGGAACTTGCTTAGGTTGTCAACTTGGAGAAGTCAATGGCGGAAAACTTTTCTCGTTTGTGATGCGATGCAGAATGTCAGTTGCTGTATAATTTAACACCATGTATTCATATTACACTTAATTCCACCGGTGAATCAGTTACTTCCAGCGACATAGTGCTTTTTATATGATCTTCTCTTTGGCGTTACGAACACGCCATTAGTCTGATAATATAACTCCCTTATTTCTTCATGCGTGAATGTGTTCATAATAATGCATGTGTCAAGACAAGACAATACAAGACCTGACGTAAATATACTATAGTTGAAAAGCGGAAAATACATGAGTTATATAAGAAAAAAGAACATGAATATATAGCATGTGATAATGTTACATGATGCTTAACAGGGTTTGCAATATTTGAAACACACATTCTAACTCCTGGGAATATTTTTAGGATTCGTACACTATCTATATTTATTAATTGATTATATTTCTTTATGTTAGTCCTGGAAATGTGAAAATGGGCTGCAATATTTTATCTATCATCGTTGAAAATAAGAACATAACATAACATAAGGATATTTGTCCCATGTTTCATGAGACTAAGAATGTCTGCAATAGCTTTCATTTCGCTGTGTACCAATTTCATCAGAAAACCTTTGATTGAAAATTCTAAACTGTATTCAATTTTAGATATATTTTAGGTAAAAAGAAATGAATCTTTACTAAATCTAATATTTTAATAATGGCCTATAATTAAGACCTACCTTATATGACATATTGATGTTAACTGCCTAATAATTGATCTTTTGTCACTGTTCTACAGCGTTTGTTTAGCATTTAACTGATACAAAACTTTGAGTTCTCTAATAGTAACTTCATCCAACATAATATAGATTTTCATTCAAGTAACCATCTAATGTCATACGAATTTTCACCAAAGTATTTGTATAAAAAATCACATACGACAAGATTATTTTTAATAACCTCTAATGAAGGGAAAACGAACGAATTTTGCCGTACACCTTATATAGAGGGGTATAGTTTTTTTACATTAAATATTCTTATAATGAAGGAAACATTAGTTTTCCCGACTGTATCAGGTTTTACAAAATCCTAGAATTTCACAAGCATATATTAAATTCGGTACAATGGTTTGATTGAAAAGTTTCAGATGACAATCAAATAACAAATCTAAATTGTGTATACGATTTTCAAGTAAGATCACATCCATGGATAATAGATTATTGAAGCCGTTGGTGAACTTCTTATAATTATGAAATGTAAGACCTAATGATTTATTTTTATGAACAACAACAATATCGACATTTTAAATTGGCTAGTGGTATCCCGTCCTTATCTTCACACTTTTTGAGTGCTTATAATAAAGTACGGAATCAAAAAAGAGGACTTTTAGGTGGGTGAAAAGCCTTCCCGTTGAAAAAAAGTAATCATAAACACAACATTTGCTATGCAATGTGATGCTTCAGGAATACAGAGCTAGTGTCATAGAAGTTTAGCCACCGCTTTTGTAACAACGATGATGTTACAATGGTTCAATACAATACTGGTTTCCCTTACATAGCAATTCGAACAATTATGTTATTATCATATAATTAGTTGCCTAATATACCAGTGGGTGTTACATAATATTATTTATGAACACCATTTTTTAACTGAACGCGCATGGTTAATATTAATATCATCTCAAGTATATCCCAGATCAAAAAAAAATAGGACTAACGTCAAATTCATTTTCAACAATGCCCGAATCAGCTACAGCGAGACTAATATCAATATCATCTCAAGTATGGAATAGATAATAACACAAGGACAAACGTCGAATTCCTCATCAACAAAGCCTGAATCAAATACAGACAAACTAATATCAATGTTATCTCAAGAAAGGCCTGAAAAGCACGTACCTGTGAGTTGTAACATGGAACTTTTACGTTCAGGCGAAAGGGTTGTCATGCACAGCTTATGGAATCCTTGAGTGTTTGACATTAAATGTCAGATTGAATCCCAGTCGAATGACTGATTATCCCCATGACCCATATTCAGTACAGTTTTTTATACAACATAAATAAATATCAGTTGCTATGGCTGTATTAATAATAGTGATATTGAATTTAAACGACCGTAAAAGCATGTGTGGTAAGCTAAGATATCTTCCACGAATTCTATATCCGAGAGAAGCCATAAAATATGTATTCAAGCAGCCAGTCGTAAACAAGGAATAAAATTTGTTGATAGTAATTTCACTTTTTATTCATAATGCTAATGCTTCTTGATAGGATTGCAATGTAACAGTCCTCCCGTGGGATGAAGACAACCATGTAAATGCTACGATTACAAAGTCAGATAATTATCATTGCAATCGTAGTAAACCACCAGGATAAATTACACCCACACAAGCCAGATGATTGAAAATTGCATGCTTGATCTATTCTAGCACGCGCGTTTACCAGATACGCGGTGACTTTAAAACAGCGGGCCGAAATATCAAGTGAATAAACAAAAAAACAAAAATGCATTATATTTTTTACGGAATAGGCAAAAGTAACGCGTTATAAATTTTTATTATATTCCTCCCATATTCAGAAAATGTCCACCCAATTTTTCAAACGGCGGAAAATTTTATGTTCAAAATTTTTTTCAACAATTGACCCTGGTAAGGATATTAGATTACAGACTTAACTAATTGCAGTGATTGGATCAAAATATACTGTAATGGCATGTACTGAGTACCAAAATAATTACAATTGCAAATACAGCCAGTCAAACGTTAATATGTAGTAGGTAGAAATCGAATATTTTAAATTAATGGATCTATTAGTATAGGTTCCTAAATTTTAGTATTTAGTTCCTATGGTAAAGATTTGATATTGTACTATTTTAATCTTAACATAGATTGTTTGTGTCTTTGTTTTGTGATTGAGAACCCATCAGTACACAACAGGTGATATTGTGCTTTGGAAAATGTATCAAAGGGCCTTTTCGGCCTCATCTGGGAAAAATATGAACCCTCCAGTCTCCTGGTTGCGAGTCTGGCACTTTCCAAGGGGCCACCGCGTGTAAGCTTATAAGAGTTCTTGGCCTTTGATTAAAAGCCAAACTTCCTACTCCATTCAAATCAGTTTATAAAGAACATGCTCAAGACTTTTTCAAGTTATTATATCCTTTCGACATCATTCAGTGATACTAACAAAGTGACACTCTAATTTTACTTTTCAAAGCATAATCTTTGGCATTATTTTAAAAATCAAGATGCTATATGTTATATGGATAAAGTGGCTTAGTTTTAACTTCATGATATGCATAAGCAAGAGCCACAAATAAAATCTAAAGTTACTTTTGATTCTTAAACTTTATTTTAAGACAATGTCTGTGGGAAGTTATTTCAACTTCATATTAAATTTAAAGGGCCATTTAGATGAATTCGTACATGTTTATTTGTCCGATCCTGTTGACATAGTTATAGATAATTCCAATTCCATTTAGAAAATTTCGGATAATATGCAAATACGCTGGGTTAGCTAGAATGAATGTCGTTAAACATCTAAATGTGAGACAGAAACAATGTCCATATAAATCAGGTAAAAACTTGGCAGCTTTTGGGTGCCAAACCATTAGAACAAAATTGGTCGATCATGGAGCCTTTGGTATCAGGCTTGCGATCATCTTTGTAGTGGGGTGTTGGGCGTCCGCTTGGTCTCCTGCACTGGCAACTTAGCTGTAAATCCGATCCAGCAGAGCAGTCTCTAGTTAAGGAGTTCAATGATGCTGGCCAGATTTACCTGGGCAAAGACTTCTGCCTCTTGATCTTTTTTAAGGGTTTATTATCCCAGGCACGTTAGTATGTATGTCGACAATGATGGCTGAATTAAGATTGAGGGTGTGGATTTTCTTTCTTAAATTTCAGGTCGTCTGTCATCAGTTGTATTGTCTTAGAAAATCTGAATATCTGATCAACATGTGCCTTGTTTTGATTTTGTCTTTTAGCTAGTCAATTTGATCAAAGTTTCGTCGGGCGTTTAGGACAATTAGACTTCTTTTATTTAAGTGTCTAAGGTGTAATTAAAGAGTACAGTGAATATGATGCCTGAGATCTTGTGAAT